TGTAGGGTCCGGGGGGGGGTCTCAGAGCTGCTTTGGGGTTTTCCCGGGACCTGTAGGGGGGGTCCTGGAGCCCATTGACGGGGGGGCGGGGGTCTCTGGGGTCCCCTTGGGGTCCTGAGGGTGTCCCGGGAGCTGGGGGGGGTCTTGAGCTCTCTGGGGGGGCTGTCCTGGGGCTCCCCTGGGTTCAGTGGGGTGTCCCAGCCTCCTTTGGGGTCTGTGCGGGGGTGTCCCAAAGCCTCTGTGGGGTCTCCAGGGACTCCCGTGGGGTCTGTGGAGGGTCCCAGGACCTCCCTGGAGGTGTCCTGGGGTCTCCGTGGGGGTGTCCTGAGGCTGCTGTGGGTGTTCCTGGACCCCCCCGAGATCCGAGGTGCCCCCATGCCCCCCTGTGCCCCCCAGGGAGGTACATCCCCTCCACGCAGCGGCCGGATGGGACGTGGCGGAAGCAGCGGCGGGTGAAGGAGGGATACGTCCCCCAGGAGGAGGTGCCCGTGTGAGTGGGGGGGTCCCCGGGCTGGGGGGGCTCATGGGGCTGTGTCCATCCTCCCAGGGCTGAGGTTGTGCCCCTCTGGGTCCTACCCGGGGCTTCACATGTGGGTGAGTCCCACCCCAGGGGCTGCATATGCCCTCCTGGATCCTCATGGACCCCCCTCCAGATCTTCATGGACCCACCTCCAGATCCTCATGGACATCTCCTGGATCCCCCCATCCCCTCACAGACCCTCCTGGAGCCCCACGGCCCCTCACAGATCCCTCATTGATCCCTTATGGACCCTCACAGGTCTCTCAAGAATCCCCCACAGCTCCTCCTGGACCCTCAGGAATCCCTCACAGATCCCTCCTGGACCCTCCCAGATACCTCCTGGGCCCCTCCTGGATTCCCCACAGCCCCCTCGTGTCCCCCCCCAGCCCCTCACTGATCACTCACTGATCCCTCGTGGACCCTCAGAGACCCTCATAATCCCCCCGGGATCCCCCACAGACCCCTCCTGGGCCACTCACAGAACGTTCCCACAGGGATCCCTCCCAGATCCCTCCCGGATCCCTCCTGGCCCCCCCCACACCCCCCCAGCACCCCCTCACCCCCTCCCTCCGCCCGCAGGTACGAGAACAAATACGTGAAGTTTTTCCGGAGCAAACCGGAGCTGCCGCCGGGGCTGAGCCCGGACACGGCCCCGGCGCGGCCCCCGGGACCCCCCCAGGGCCCCCCCCCCGAGCAGGGCCTGTCCAAGGCCGCCCGCAGGAACCTCAAGCGCAAGGAGAAGCGGCGGCAGCAGCAGGAAAAGGCCCCGGAGCGGCCGCAGGACACGGACGGACTGAGCCCGGCGCTGGAAAAGCTGTCGCTGTCGGGGCCCGGCGGGACAGGAGGGGCCCCCCCGGCCCAGGGGGGCGACGGCGCCGGGAATTCCGAGCGCAGCCGCCGCATCAAGAGCCTGCGGAAGAAGCTGCGGCAGGTGGAGGAGCTGCGGCGGCGCCTCGAGGCCGGGGGGCTCCCCCAGCCCACCCAGGAGCAGCTGGAGAAGCTGGGCCGGAGGAAAGCGCTGGAGGACGAACTCAGGGGGCTCGAGTCGGACTCGTAGGGGGGGTTGGGGGGTCTCTGGGGGGTTTGGGGAGGGGGGAGGGCAGGGCCGGACAGGACGGTTGTTCCCGGCGAGGACCCGGCAGCTCCTGGTTTTTAATGGATCGATGTGGGTTTAGGTGGGAGGGGGCCGTGCCCCCCCCGTGCCCCCCCTGCTCTTCCCACCCCCCCGTTCTGTGTCACAGCTCCTCCCCCCTGCTTATTTCTCTTTTTCTCTCTTTTTTTCCTTTATTTTTAAAAATTGTGGAAGAATAAAAACTGCAGCACTGACCCGGCGTGGGGGGGTCGGGCCTGGGCCCCCCGGGAGGGGATGGGGGGCTCAGGGGGCAGCTGGACCCTCCCCAGGGTGGGGGCCGTGTGGTCCTTTGGGGGTCAGGCAGAGCTGGGGGGCCCCAGGGCTGGGTGAGGCCCCCACCCAAGGTGGAGGTTAAGGCTTTTAGGATCCCCTTCTCTCCTCCAGCAGAAGGGGAGGGGGCTGAGACCACCGTGGGTTCACAGTATTTGGGTAGGTCCTACAAAAATAAATGTGTGGCTTTGTTTTCAAGGGGGTCCCCGGGGGCTGGAGTGGGTGCATAGGGCTCTTCCCCCCAACCAGGGACATCCCCCCTTCAGCCCTCGGGGGTCCCACCCACCCATGTGCCCTGAAGCTCCATCCCCGCAGGCCACGCCCCCCGTGGGCGGGGCACGAGGAACCTCATTTGCTTATTTAAAGGCGCAGGCACCGCTGTTGGGGGGTCCCCCAAGGCACGTCGGAGGGGCTCAGAGGCGGTGTCGGGGCGGGGTGGTGAAGTCGGGGGGTCCCGGCGGGGTCCCGCTGTCCGGCTGCCGGTCCCGCAGGCTCCAGGCGGTGCTCGGGGGGTCTCGGGGGTCCCCGGGGCTCGGGGTGTCCGTGCAGCGCTGGGGTGGGGGCGGCTGGCGGCGAGGGGGACCCCCGGGGGGGGCTTTGGGCTCCTTGTGCCGGAGGCGCTTCTGCCGCCGGCTGAGGGCTGTGGGGAGGGGGCGAGTCCTGAGCCCTGTGCCCCCGACCCCGGGACACCCTCTGACACCCCCCATTTACCACCCCCTCCCCACCCTCCTCACCCTCACCTTCATCCTTCCCACCACCACCAGCATCCAGAGCCTCATCCCACTCCTTTCCCAGTCCCACCCTTTTCCTCCTCCCCGTCCCCATCGCCACCCCGCCCTTATCCTCACCTTCCTCCCCACCAGCATCCACAGCCCCGTCCCTTTCCCATCCCGCCCTTCCCCCGTCCCCTCCCTTACCCCGGGGGTCCCTCACCGTGTCCCCTCGGTGCCCCTCCGGCCGTCACCTTCCACTGCAGCAGCACCGCGGTGACACTGAGCGCGGGCCACGCTCCGAGCAGCGCCCACCCGGGCCAGCAGAGCGGCCCCCCCGGCGCCCCCCGCAGCCGGGCCAGCGCGAACCCCACCAGCGCCGCCCCCTCGGCGAAATAATCGGCGCAGACCACCAGGGCGGCCGCGCCCCCCACGCCCGTGCCCAGCACGGTGAGGGCGCGGGGCCAGCGCAGCGCGGAGAGAGCCCCGAGCAGCGCCAGCCCCAGCGCCACCCCCGCGCCCACCCAGGGGCTGCCCGGGGGCTCCGCCGGGGCCAGCGCGGCCAGCGCGGCCGCGGCCACCAGCAGCCCCAGCAGCAGCCCCGTGGTGAAGAGCCCCACGCTGCGCAGCAGCGCCGTGAGGAGCCCGCAGAGCAGCCCGATGCCCAGCGCGATGCCCGCGCTCGCCTCCAGGCTCAGGGGGGACCCCAGGACGCGCTCCCGGTGGCACAGGAGGAAGATGACGGCGGAGCCGAAGAACAGCCCCGAGAGGAACATGACGGCCCTGAAGCAGCGGTAGCCTTGGGGGGCGCGGGGGGGTCAGTGGGGGCGGTGCTGGTGGGCACTGGGCAGTCCCTGGGGGTTCCCTGTGCCCCACAGTAACCTTGTGCCCCCCGGTGTCCCCTGTGCCATCCCCTCTGCCCAGGACCACCAGTTGTCCCCCAGTGGTCCCTGTGCCATCTCTTCTGCCCCCCAGATGTGCCCCCTGCCTCCCCCGGGCCTCCCCAGCCCCCCCCCCCCCCCCCGCCCCCAGCCCTGCCCCCCCTCGGGGTCCCCCCCGGTGTGCCCTCAGGACCCCCCCAGCCCCCTGACGGTGTCCCAGGGGTCCCCCCGAGCCCCCCAGCCGTGCCCCCCTCGGGGTTCCCTCAGTCCCCGCCTCAGGAGCCCCTCAGCCCCCCAGCCGTGCCCCCGGGGGCCCCCCCCGTGCCCCCCTCACCGAAGCAGCCGCAGCCGAGGCCCAGGAGCGCCCCGAGGGCGCAGAGCGCGGCCGGGACGGGCTCGAGGGGTCCCCGGGGCCCGAGGGCACAGCGGGGCTCCGCGGGGGGAGCGCCGGGATCCATCGCCCCCCGGGCTCTGCGGGGGAGGGAGGGTGAGCGACCCCCGCCTCGTGTCCCCCTCCCCGCACCCACATCTGGCAGCGGCGCCGCGGGGGGGGGGGGCGGCACATCTGGAAGGGACTGGGCTGGGGGCGCTGGGAGGGGGAACTGGGAGCGCTGAGGGCACTGGGAGGGGGCACTGGGAGCGCTGTGGGACTGGGCTGGCGGGGCGGGGGATGCCCAGGGGAGTCCCCGGCCGAGTTCCCATCCCCACTCGCTCCCCCCGCCCCTCCAGCCCCATCCCAGAGCTCTCTCAGTGCTCCCAGTGGTTCCACCGACTCCCGGGAGGGGGTCCCCGCTCGGGGGTCCCATCTCCGCTCGGTCCCCCCCGCCCGGGACTCACCGTCGCTGCCGTCGCGGGGGTCGCGGTGGGGCCGAGATGCGGCAGGGGCGGGACCGGGGGCGGTGAGGGACCGTCGCGGGGTCCCGCGCGGGGTCTGGCGGGGGCGGGGGCGGCAGTCGGGGTGTGAGCGCAGGGAAAGGAGCCGATCCCGCGTGGGGTCAATCCCGGGAAAGACAAAGGGAGGGGGTCGCACGGGGGGGCCCCGGCGGGGGCGGCGGTGCGGGAGGCGCGGAGCCCCCCGCGGGTACCGGGCAGCATTGCCCTTTTAAGATCGAAGATGCCCCTTTAAAGGGCGGGGCCATAGGTACGGGGCGGGGAGATGCCCGTTTAAGGGCTGCGACCACACCCAACTAAGGGGCGTGTCCATTCCCGCCGAAGGGGCGTGGTCACCCGCCATTCAAGGAGTAGGCGGAGCGAAGCTCTCGCGTGAGGCCCCTCCCCCGGAAGTGGGCGTGGCCGGCGCGGCGGCGGGCGGAAAGCGGAAGTGCGGCTGTGAGGGGGCCCCGGGGGGGGGGGGGGGGCGGCGCCCCCCCCCCACCGCCGGTACCGGCGCGGTGAGTCCAAAATACCCCAAAAACAGCCCTAAACCCTCCCCCCATCGCTGGTACCGGCGCGGTGAGTCCGGGACTCCCCAAACTCCCCCCCGGTCCGTTTGCGGGTTCCTTACAGGCCCTACTGGGGGTCCCAGGGCCGTTCGGGGGGTTCCCCGGAGCCCTTTTCGGAGGTTCTCGGGGCCCATCCGAGGGGGCCCGGGGTGAGTCGGGGTCTCTGGGGTCCTGCGGGGGGTCCCCGGGGGCCGTTCGGGGGGTCCCGGGCCCATTCCGGGGGTCTCTGCCCCTCGCTGACCCCTCTCTCTGCCCCCAGCCCCGGCAGGACCGGGATGGCCGTGACTTAACCGCGGGATGGAGCAGCCCCGGCCCCGGGACGCGGCCGAAGGAGGCTCCGGGCCCCCCAGCGCCGCCTGGAACGGGACCTGCGGCCGCGCCGGGACCGCCCCCGGCCCGGGGGACGACGAGGAGGACGGAGGGGGCGGCGGCGACCCCGGGACCCCCTGCGGCTGCCGGGGACCCCCGGCCCCCGCCCCGACCCCCGCGGGGGAGCCCCGGGCCGGGGCCTGCGGGCTCGGCTGCCGCCACCGGGGACCCCCCGACGGCGACGGGAGGGCGCGGAGGGCCCGGAGGCGGGCGAGGCACCGCGGGGCCCTCCGGGAGAACGAGGAGGATGAAGAGGAGGAGGAGGGCGGGGGGCTGCGGGGCTGGGGCCGGGGGTCGCTGCGGGCGGCCCGGGCGGGGGCCGGGCTGTGCCTGAGGCTGCTCGGGGCGCTCCTGGCGCTGCTGCTCCTCCTCTTCCTCCTCCTCCTCGGGGGGCTCCGGCTCTGCTGGCGCGGCCTCGCCACTGGAGCCCGCTGGGCCCACGAGCTCCTGGGGGACCCCCGGCAGTGGCTGCGGGGCCGGAGGAGCCCCCCGGGGGTCCCCGCGGCGGGGGAGGAGGAGCTGGGGCGGCTGCTGGCCCTGGCCGAGGTGCCCGAGGAGGAGCTGAACCCCTTCCAGGTGCTGGGAGTGGAGCCCTCGGCGGCCGACGCCGAGCTCAGAAAGGCCTATCGGCGCCTGGCCGTGCTGGTGGGTGTGAGCTGGGGGGGGCCCGGGGACCCCCACCCCGGCAGGCCCCTGAGGGTCGCTCCCTGCCCAGGTGCACCCTGACAAGAGCCCCCACCCGCGGGCAGAGGAGGCCTTCAAGGTGCTGCAGGCGGGCTGGGACCGGGTGAGCAGCCCCGAGCGGCGCCGGGACTACGAGACGTGAGTCGGGGGGCCCTGGGGGGGCTCTGGGACCCCCGCGGAGGGCTCTGACCCCCCGTGTTCCCCGCAGGAAGAGGCTGGCACAGAGCGAGCTGGCACGGTCGGTGGGAGCCTTCCTGAGCTGGCTGCAGGAGGACCTGAGGGAGGCCATGAACGCCATGGCCTGCAGCCGCTGCGGGGGCCGCCACAGGTGGGCCGGGGGGGCTCGGGGTCAGCACCAGGGGATGCTGTGTCCCTGGGGGCGGATGTTGTGCCCCAGAGGGCTCAAGGGGAGGGCGGGGGCAGTGCTGGGGTGACATCGTGTCCCGGGGGGCTCGGGGAGGGGAGTGGGGGCAGCTCGGGGGGGGTGTTGTGTGCTGGGGGGGTCAGGGGGGGGGGGGGGAGCAGGGCCAGCAGCGGAAGGATGTCGTGTTTCGGGTGGCTCACGGTGCCATCACCCCTGCAGGCGGTTCGAGCTGGACAGGGACCCCCAGCGTGCCCGGTACTGCGCTGAGTGCGGGGGGCTGCACCCGGCCGAGGAGGGGGACCTGTGGGCAGAGTCCCACCTGCTGGGGCTCAGGATCACCTACATGGCCCGCATGGACGGCCGGGTCTACGACATCACCGGTGGGGATGGGCATCCCTGGGGGGACAGGGACCCCACACCCACGGGTGTGGCCCCAGACTGGGGGGTGACAGAACCCCCAGACCCAGTGGGTTTCCCAGCCCCAGGGGTCCCACCCTCCGTGGCCCCCCCGGGGTGCCCCCTGACAGGTGGTCTCTGTCTCTGTCCCCCCAGAGTGGGCTGGGTGCCAGCGTGTGGGCATCTCCCCGGACACCCACCGTGTCCCCTACCACCTGTCCTTCGGTGCCAGGGCGGCCCCCCCACCCGGGAGGCAGCGGTCAGTGCTGGGGGGTACCTGGGGGGTGACACAATGCCCCGGGGGTCTCGTGGTGCCGTCACACCCTCTCTCTCAGGCGGTTTGACGTGCACAGGGACCCCCAGGCCCCCCAACCCCCTCTCTTCCCCCTCCAGGACCACCCCCAAGGGCAGCCCCCCCACCCCCTCAGAGCTCCAGGATTTCCTCACCCGCATCTTTCAGGCCCCGGCGGCCCCTGGGGGGCCCTTCCCGCCGCCCCCCACCCCCCCAGGGGCTGCAGCCCCACCCGGGGGTCCCCCCAGGCCAGAGGGGGTTACCCCCAGGGGGGACACGAAGCACAAGAGGAGGAAGAAGGTGCGGCGGCCGCTCCCGCGCTGAAGGGCCCCAGGCCCCCCCAAAGGGCTTCTTTGGAAAAAAAAAATATTTTTTTTTTTTTTTTTTTTTTTTTTTAGAAAAGAAAGTGAGTGTTTTTTTTAACATGGGGAAGTTATTTTAAAAAGGGAGGTGGGGTGGGGATGTGGCCAAAGGAGCTGCAGGTTGGGGGGGGAACAAAGCAGAGTTGGGGGCTGTTTTGGGGGCTCAATCAGCCCCCGAGGAGCCGGGGCTGCTCTGGGGGCTCACACGACCCCGAATAACCCAGAGGCCAATTTAAGTGTCGTTTTAGGTGCTGGGCTGGCAGATACGGCACCTGGGAGGGAGGGTGAGGGCCTGGGATGTTGATGCCCAATGACCTCGCGGCCGGGGGGTTTAATTAATAAATAAACTCATAATTAACGAATAAATTAATAACGAATAATTAATAACACCCAGCTCCCCGCACTACCGCGCTCCCATTGGTCCGTATTCACGTCACTCAACTCCGCCGACCAATACCACGAGAGCGGCGCCAGGCAGAACAGGCCAATGGCGGGCGGCGCTTTTGCTTGGTCCATCGGGCGCGCTCGACGCTGATTGGCTGGCCGGCGGCGGGGGCGGGGCCGGCGCGGCGGTGACAAGATGGCGGCGGAGCCAGTGGAGCTGCACAAGCTGAAGGTGCCGCGGGGACCGCGAGCGGGGCGCTTTGAGGGAGGGAACCGGTTTGAGCGCCCGCCACCACGGAGGGCGGCCAGGCCCGCTCCCTCGGGGATTGGACCCCACCGCAGACCGGAACCACTGAGGTCGGGGCTCCCCGAGGCCCCACGTGGGAGTGCAGCCGCGTGGGAGAGACCCCGGGGGGGGAATACCGGGGATGGGGGTACCGGGGACGGGCCCTGGGGAGAGTTCCCCAGCTGGTTCCCCAGGGGGGTCCTGGGGAGGTTCCCCCAGTGGGTTCCTCAGGAGGGTCCCTGAGAGGTTCCCCCGGTTGATTCTCCTGGGAGGTCCCTCCAGGAGGGGCCCAGCGATGGTTCCCCGGTGGTTTTTCCCGGGAGGGTCCCCCAGGAGAGTCCCAGGGGGGTTCCCCTGGTTGGTTCCCCCAATGGATTCTCCCGGGAGGGTCCCCAGGAAGGTTCCCCTGGTTGGTTCCCCCAGGACGATCCCAAAGAGATTCCCTGGAGCGTTCCTTTCCATCCCTCAACCCCGCTTTGATCCCTGTATTTAATCCCTGTGTTTCCCGACTCACGGAAGATTTTCCCACCGCAGCTGGCAGAGCTGAAGCAGGAATGCCTGGCCAGGGGGCTGGAAGCTAAAGGCAACAAGCAGGACCTCATCAACCGGCTCCAGGCCTACCTGGAGGAGCACGGTGGGTGCTGGGGGCCCTTCCCGAATCCCTCGGAATTCCCACCTGGATTCCTGTGTTCTCTGGGAATCCAGAGGTTCCCTGGGGTGTTTTGCTGCTCCAATGGCTGCGTTGTTTTGTCCTCCAGCTGAAGAAGAAGCCAATGAGGAGGATGTGCTGGCAGAGGAGATAGAGGTGGGTTGTTTTTTGGGATATCCCGGGGAAATCCTGGTTTGCTGACTGGGAACAGGGCAACACCCGGGGCTGGG